AGACGGTTCCACGGATAGTCGTATCACTTTACTTCAACTGCTTGCTATACCTATCTTTCTTTCCACTTTAACTTCTCCTCTTTTTAGTTGATTTTAACTGATGGAACACCCCAGAAGCCCCTTTAGGAACCAGTTAGAAAAACTCGAACAGGTTTCTTCACTATCCATTTATGTTTTACCGAACGGTCAGACCACATAGTCGGTCTGTGTCTCGCATTGTCGGGAAACATGCCATTTATTTATTATGGATGCGCACTACTGACGATGCCCAACAGGCTGTAACTGCAGTCTAGTGCTTTTCCGGGCATGTGGACGACTATCTGATTTGGAAACTGGCTGCGATGAACCTCACTTAATTTATTTATTTACTTTTTTGATGAATGGCTGCAGTCTTGGCAAATCCTCACGCCGAGACAGCCAACTAGGGAGATGCACTGCTACCTGAAATGAAACACTTGGTGGGCATCGACGGCCAAATACGATTAGTCCTCCACTCACAGTGGCTGTGCCTCTGATCTCAGTCGCACTGCGTTGTTGCACATTCTCTGTCTGTAAACTCACATCTTCCCATATCCACTGGCGGGCCACAGGGACCCTGACACTGCTTCGTGCACCGAAGATGACGCATCTCTCTAGATTGATGAACGAGCTCGTCGGTTCGTTTGGTTCGATGTTAGTGAGGAATGATGTGTGCATCTGCCCAATCCGGCACACCAAAGCTTTCCGTATTTTATACCTGTCCATTTGGGAACTTCTGCTTACTGATACTCAGTTGTGGGAATGGAAGAAATGAGACAGTCCCGGCTTGTGCCTCACTAAAGGTGGGGAGTCCATAGTCCTACATGGTTTCTGGCCATGCACTGTAAGGATTTACTAGTGGGCGGAAACTTTTCCTGCATGCAGTTTACTGATGCACAACATCATAAACAAGTATGATCAAATTGGTCACAGGCGATCTTCAGGTTAAGAACGGTTGCAATGATGAGCCATTTGTGTCCTGGACTGAGCAACAATCGGTTCCGGTTTAGCGCACCGTCGTTTACTGTGTTCCAGGTAGCTCGATGCGGCCGTTCACGCTAGAAAGCTGTGGACCGACAGTGCACCGTTGAAGAAGCTGTTCACCATCGCCCACACTAAGCAGTGCTACTGAAACTTTCGCCTGTATGGAGTTCCAACCTCAGGGATGGTTCTTTTTAAGGCTCAGACCACATAAAGGGTTGGAACATCTGTTCTTAGTTTGCGAATCGGATCCGCCCGTAGTATTTTCTTTGGTGGACTACGCGCTGCAATCTGGGGGGCACTTGTTGACACGCCTTCGACATCTGCCTGTTACTTTCACTTGATTTCCGAGTTTGTGTCCAACGGACACTTGCAAACAATCACGCATGTACTTGACGTTGTATAAATGCTTACCAACAGGCTGCATTGACATCCTGGGAAGCCGGAAATCCCTGTGGGCTTGCTACTGGTATTATCGCCTTAAAAGTGGTATGTGGCGTTTTATACCACCGTACACATCCCTTCGGCCAACCTGTAGCCTAAAGGTAACGAGCTTATCTCGTAATCTGCCGGCGCGGGTATGAGCCTGCGTAGGGGCAGGGCGATCCTCGCAGTATCCTTAGCGCACGTTCGACCAGTGGTGTTTTCGCGGCAGCGAAGCGTCGGTACTGCGTATGAGCGTACTGCTGCTGCCTTTTTACATCTGTTCACAGACTTTCAATACTTTATTCTGTTTATCTTCTAAATTCCTGGCCTCTGGGATACCGGAAATCTTGGCTTAGCGATTGTCTCGAAAGCTTAGTTCCATCTGCCTTGCCTCGTCACTTTTCTCGGTCATTCAGTTCAGTTAACCAACTATGATCCGAGCACCGAAGTGTGCTGGATCCAGTTACCACGACTCACATCGCAAGAATTACAGTAACTAACAACGGTTAGACAGTGGGGTTAAATGCAAATAGAATGTAGAGAAAGTGGAAGCAAGAAGCACTTGTATTAGACTAATCAACATACAACGGGAATCAGCAACTAGATACAAGGACGCGAATGCAGGAACGCCACTGACTACGTGACTGCGCCATGTCTGAAAAGATCTCCAACTATTGGTGTGGACCATCTCGGTGCCCTCATCCGCGAAGACAGCACACACTAGCCTTACCAACTCTGTCAATTTCTGTGGCGTGTCATGGACTGGCCGCCTTGTGATTTCGCCTAACTTGGTGCAGCCACGGTATATAATGCATGTCGAGGAAGCCGGTCAACGGACCGAAGGGGGATATGGTTTATCCAACATAAGCGATTAAGATTCAGTAAACACTCCAGTGAAGAGGCAAAAGGCTTCTTGCCAAAAACCAGCAGGCGGATATCAGCGTTGCTGGCCCGTTGCTCCCACCAGACATGAGGGCAACACTCCGCATGTACCTATGGTCGAACACTGCTAAGCGCTTAATGTCTTCACCGCGAACTGGCCAGGTCTCTTATCCATACAGTAACACGGGCTTTATCGCAGCGTTATACACCCTACCTTTCACGGACAGACCGATGTTCTCTTGTCTCCGTAGATGGTTGGGCATCTGGAAAGCCACATGGGCCTTGCTTATTCGCGAAGTAAACTCAGTGATATGACTACCAGAGGTGACAGTTGTCAAGTTAAGTAAACCGATTCACCACTTCCAGTCGCTATTCGGTAATATCTAAGACCGGTAGTGTTCCGGTCCAGTCCTGCAACACTGATGGTGCAAAGTACATGCCGAAGCGTGCAGCGCTACGCACCAGCCTGTTTAGTAGTGTTTGCATTGCCACTGCGTCGGACCCAAAGAGAGCTATGTCGTCCGTATACTCCAGCTTAGTCACCTGTCACCTGGCTGATCTTTCACTCCGCTTGTGTCGGAAAGAGCCGGGTCATTCATGATCATTTCGACCGTAAAGTGGAAGAGAAAACGATATACAGGACCACCCTGACTAACCTCACTTGTCGTTTGGAACTCAGGAGACAGTTTCTTATAGACGGTAGAGAGATTTCGGAATGGAAAGGAGTTACACTGGAACACCCTTCATCGGTAGGCAGTGCTACAAGCTGGCACAGCCAACAGAGTTGAATGCAGCTTTTAAGTCATGAGAAACCACCATAGTCGGTCGTCTGAATGTGTGTCTTTTCTCTAAAACTTGGCGAAGAGTAATTATGTGGTCGATACAACCACGGACTAGTGATTTGGTTTTCACAGGGACCAGTAACTCATCGAAGAATGATTCCCCTGAGAATTTTGCAGGCATTGGAAATGAGGCTAACGCCTAGCGAATTTTCGCACAAATAGGCTGACGTTTATTAACTATGGGCACTACAATTGTAAGCCGCCAGTCTGAAGGCACTGCTTTAGTGTTCAAAATCGTGTAAAAATAGAGCAGCAAGTCCAGTCAACAAAGTGTCATCCCCATCTTTCCATAGAGGTGGAGGATGTTCGTTGGGTCCAGGAGCCGTGTTTCGTTTCCTCACGGCGAGCTCATATCGAGCCTTTTCCAAAGTGGGACGTGTGACGACAACTTCCCGCGTCGACTCAGGAGATTCCGCAAGCAGCACGCCTGCTGAACTGCTCTTCAAATAGTTCCGCCCAGTAGGCTAGTTGGCGAAGCTAAGAATCTATCAACTGCCCATCTTTCTCAGCCATGGTCTCGCTAACTGATAGCTTTCTCGAACCCGTATTCCGGATGAGCTGATATGGCACGGCTGTTCCCGATAACACTGGCCTTCTTCATTTTACGAGTCTTTGCCACTCACCAACGTTCTCGGTTCATTCGGAGACTGTCAGATCTCGTTTCAGGGAGTTACAGACATGCTAGAACTCAGTGCCTGTTGAACCTGTTTACACTTTTCGATCAAACTGATCGTTGCCTCAGTAATTCATTCACGGTTACGACGTCTAAAGCTGGATGCAAAGCAGACGTCAAAGGCATTCTTCCTGACACACTTGAGACGATCCTGGTCAGCATTTGGCTCAGTGACAATTGGTAGGCCTGTTCGTTATGAGATTGTTAAACTGCCGACTTCGAGTTCGTTACAAATAAGAAGATTAGCAGCTAGGTACTTCGTTGAGGCGCGAAGTGTGCGCCGAGCGTGCGCGCATTAGAGCATGGTCCGAATCCATGCATTGCTCCAAGTTGACCAATAGTTTTTTACTGTGTGCGCCGTCTGTAGTTGCTGGCAATATGGTCAACTTACGTTCGGGTCATTGGGAATCTGGTGAGCGCCAGGTGACGCGCTGTGAACGTTTGTGCTGGAAAGCAGTGCTACTAATGTAAGGGTTGTGGCCGGTGAACAGTTGCAGGAATCGACCACCATAGTCTGTTCGGTTTGCATCGACCCCGAAGCGGCCTTCAACGTGTTGTTCAAAGCCTGAAATTCGACCCACTTAAACATTCAAATCACCAGCAACAATCATGATGTCAGTATTCTCCGCCATGCGTAGAAGAGATGAGATTTTGCGATAGAAATCGTCTTTACTAGTCGCTTAACTGGTCATTTTTGACAATGAGCGTCCTTATATTGTTCAACTCCCTGTATTACTACCTTCATGTTTTCCTCTGGATTTTGTGAGGCCTTTTTTCCTGCCTGTTGTCGTATCATTCTCATCGTTTTGGTAATATTTCATTGGTCCCACAATTGAATGCTTTTGTAATGCAGTTTGGTCAGCTACTCACGTTTTATGCAACCACATCGTCTTGCGGAAAGTCAGTCTATGTGAACTCTTTATCTAAACATCACAGTGCGTTGACCCACCGCATTCACAGTTCTATTGTGTGGGTCCTATTGCGATGGCTCTTCTGGGCTCCTTGGACTTGTGCGAAACGTTCTCAGATCCACCGTCCTGCATTTTCATTTGGACCGAACAGCGCATCTACTTGTTTCCTCACAGTTAGTTTTGTCGCTTGTATTTGCAAATCAAATGCACGAACTTTCAGTTTTCCTTATTCGCATCGCTTCTTCCCTATGCGTATTTCTCTCATAGCTCCAGAGACCGGTCCGCCGTTATCCGGCTGCTCGCATTCCCGACCTACTGAGCATTCCCACTGTGCCTCCCAGTCTTCTTCAAACTGGTGGTGTCAACCCCGGCCGACTGTTCACTAGCTTAGTTAGTCCTACCACGCTACCAATCTCGCTGCCCTCCGGCGATGCGAAACCCAGCCCCATCCAGGGGTTTCGCGTAGAAATACGAAATCTGCAACCATCAGTGTCGCTTGACGACATTTTCGTAAGTTACTCAGTTCATTTACCAACTAAACCTCCGTTATTAGATATTTTGGCTCGTGTGATTGTGGTGCTTATTGTTCGTTTGTATGCCCGACCACGAATCTTGATTTTTTGGTCGAATGAGCTCGTTTCTTCTATTGATACCTTATGGATCTCTTTATAACTTATCATCACATGATCTGCGTTCATTATATGCCTGTTACCCTTCGCCATTTGCTTTACAACTGGATGATTCGACGAATCTATTTGATGTGTCGTGACGCAGTTCTTGGCTAAACGTTTAGCTAGTTCAATCATCACGCTTCACGTTTTGCTCCTCACTGTAATGATACACGATACCTCACCGAAACGACCCACACAGTCGCTGAGCGACTACAGAAAGTAATCAACCGGTTCACTTACCTGTGCAACTGCGTCATCCAACGATTACATCACAAATACGATCACGGGCAATGCTGATCTACAGAAATTTACAACTAGTAGTTCCCTTTATACTTTTGAGCAGAAATATCAGGAGACGTAGATTGTGTGATGACGTCGCCATTTCATGCATTCTTATCATTCACAAAACATGCAACAATTATAGCTAAACAAACAACCTCAATGTCAGAGATCATAAACTGCCAAACATTTGCGCTATCTGGGTAGGCTTAATGCCACAGTCAGCTGCTATTGAATCTAGTTGGTGAATGCAGTCACAGAGCACTTGCTTACCACCGTGCACCGAGTCAACTCTAGTGAGTCGTTTACAATCCTATTGCGCGAACGAGGGCCCCACATGCTTAGGCTACTGGTGGCCATCGTTATTGACCGCCGCTGTGCATCCAGAAACAATCGACTTGTAGCGCAAATGTTTGGCTATTTATGATCTCTTTGACATTGTTGTAGTTTCTTTACCTATCGTTGTTGCAAGTTTTGTGATTGCCAAGCTTGCACGAAATGGCAACGTTGCCTCCCAATCTAGTCTTATTTTCATATTCGGATCCTCAGAAGAGCAACTTTGTTTATTCCATTGTCATGAATCAAGACCAGAAATTAGTGCAGCGATAATGTTTCTTTTCAGGTAGACTCTTTAGACCCGGACGTTCGCACATCACTACTTAGATATGGTAAGCGTCAAATCGGGCTGGAGCTTGATTTCTACGTTGTTTAAACACTCAAATCGATTACTTTTGTTTGCTATACATGGTAGACTAAGCGAATAAAAAGAATATTGGTACCCTCAACCTCAGTAATCCGAAGTAACGGTGTCTACTGGCCGCGGTAGTAGTATCGGTCGTATAGATCGCTTTTGTACACACCAATTCCGGCTCCAGATGGACAAGAGTTGCTTGCGGAAGCGTTCTGATAATGAAATCATTCTCAGAGTCTTTATGATCGAAATCAAGCAGGTGCGGCATAATAGACGACCTCATTTCACGTTTGTATAACCACGCCGCGAATCTCCTGAGTTCGGCACCTCATAGTGCGATCCACGTATCATGCACAACAGGGGCATGAATACTGATAAGCTAGCATCAAACGAGTCATTGATGGCAGCCTATCTTTTAAGGACTTTCCTAGCAATGGCTTGTTGTAAACATTTCTAGTGACCCGCCAAATCAGTTTTCTCAACAGCATCTTTCAGATATCGAGATATAATATCAGCAGCAGAATCACCCTTGATTGGTAAATGTATGGAAAGCTCTCTTGAGATCAATGCTCCTAAGTGACTTTCGTTTACACTCCCTCTAATGCACATTAGTGCGATGTACTAAGCTTCTCAACGTCGCATTTGAGGAAAGAAAACCACGAGTTACTCTATGAACCGCAGTTACGACCATTGCATACACATTATGAATGTTCTATAACTTGAACATTCGCTACTTTCTTCGACTTCTAGTAACAAGGAACTGGTGACAGCTGGTCAGTTTGCGTATTTTAGCAGTGACTGGCATGGGTTGGTAAAATTAGTCCCTTTTTCCCAATAGTTTCAATTGCCTTTGCTTATCTGTGACACCTTTGGCTCCAAAATGGTTTGTAATACTTTTAAACATTAGGTTCGTAGAATCACTGCGGAAATCTTATTCTACTGCAATTGCAACTTGTTTTCCAATAAAATGTATGTATGTATGTAATCTCAACAGTCTATTAACTAGACACAGCCTGCATAAAACCATGGAGATCAGCAGATAAGCAAGGTTCATCGCGTCATAATCATCGTGACATGCTAGTTGAAGGTGAGCAACACACTTCAAATAATATGCCGCGGGAAGAATGGAACATTTTGACAAAAGTAGAACAAAACATTTTTAGTTTGTTTTTCACACGCCGATTTTGCTCTTTTTTGTCGTTTTCAATGTTTGTAGTATTAAACATGTGAATCAATGCAATACTGTACACAATTCTACTGATTCCGGTTGCGGGTCATGTCTTCAAGTGTGCTAAGCCATTGGCACTCCTCATCTTTGGGTCCCCATCCTGGAAGACGTACGGATCCAACAGCGGCTGGACACGAAGTCAGCGATTTCATGTGCTTTCGCTAAGTGGAAGGATGAGCACCACGCGGTCGCCTCCAGCCAGGTCCTTGACGAGCGAATAGAGCGCGATGCGGTAGACCCTCAGGTGCCATGCGTAGGACGTGACCGAGCCATCTTAACTGGCGCAGGAAAACCAGGTTGTTGAAGGGAATACCCGTATTCCCCAGGATGCGACGTCGAACGTCATTACTATTAACTCGATGTTGCCACCAAACACGAGCGATCCTCTTTAAGCAACCGTTATCGAACGCAGAGAGACGACGCATGTCTTCCACGCGAATCGGACAGTACTCGCACCCGTACATCAATACTGAGCGAACTGATGCGCTTTAAACGCGGCCCTTTAGTGAGAATGAGACGTTGCGACGACGCCACAAGTGCCTCAGATTAACAAATGCTGATCGAGCTTTAGCGATACTAGCAGAAACTTCTATGTTGATAGTGCGGTCAGCAGAAACACAGCTCCCAAGGTAGATGAAACTATCTACCTGTTCAAGTTGTGCACCTTCGAGAGTGAGGACGGGAGCGGGTGAAAGCCAATCCTTGAGCAGTACTTTTGTTGCGGGCACGTCAAATATTCCCGCAAAAACGCGCCAGAAACCCCAGCAGAATGGCTGTGGAAAGCGAGGGCCAATTCCTCCCCACAACGCAGCAGAGCTCAGCCACTCCGAGACGCGGCCCAAACTGCGCACCTTCTGACAATGGTCATTTACAAACCACCACCTCTTCGTGGTGACAGTTTTCCTTAACTTAATAACCCATAGCACTCTCTGTGATTGCCCTTTGTCGGTCGTAAAAGAGCCTACAGAGGACCACTTGTCTTTTCTTTCTCTTCGCCTCAGTTGGGAGTCGGTCGGGTCACGTGATTGCGTGTGAGTCGTTAGCTGGCCAGCCTTCGCGTCTAAGTCATTAGCGCGCGTCTATCATACCCCCTATTGTGTGCGTCCGTTTTCGAGATCTCAGCGTCTATACGAACAAGTGCGGCTAAGATCGTTCCCACGCTCGTTCAATTTTCCGTCTCACCGGCTAAGCTAGCGTCATCGTAGGCGTGCTCCAACCGTGCGAGCGACAATCTTGTCACTCAATTATCTCAAGAGGCGGCGTTCCCTCAATCTATAACAGCGGCGACGACTAAGGCAATCTACGCGACGCAATTATAACAGTGGCGACAGAGTTGACGAACCATGAATGACGAATATGTCGATTTAAAATTGATACTGCAGCAACAGCTTAAGTTGATGTCCGTGCTAACCGAAAAGCTTTCCAGTTCTTCCCTTCATGCAGGTCCGAGCGCCAATTCTCAGTCAGTGGACCATGTGGTTAGCGGCATCAGCGAATTCCTGTACGATGCCAAGGCCGGGGTAACGTTCGAATCCTGGTACAAGCGGTACGAGGACCTGTTCACCGTTGACTTGGCTTGCCAGGACGACGCGTGGAAGGTCCGCCTGCTTCTGCGCAAACTTGGTACCCTCGAACACCAGCGCTACACCAATTTCATCTTGCCGAGGAACCCACGGGACGTTACCTTTGACGACACGGTCCGAACGTTGTCACAGATTTTTGGCGAGCAGTCCTCTCTGTTCAATGCTCGTTATCAGTGTCTGCAGCTGGCCAAACGTGATGCCGACGACTTCATCACGTACGCGGGCGTGGTCAACCGGGAATGCCAACGTTTTCAACTTGGCTCGCTCACCGAAGACCAATTCAAATGCCTGATCTTCGTCTCTGGCCTCCAATCTCCACACGATGCCGATATCCGGACGCGCCTCCTGTCCAAGCTACAACAGAATGTATCAGTCACACTCCAGAACCTGACCGAGGAGTGTCAAACGCTGCTCAACCTGAAGCACGATTCCACAATGATCCAGAACGCCGCCGCACCTGGTATGGTCCAGGCAGTCACAGCACCGAGGGCGCAATCGTCCGCGCGCCCCACCCAATCCGACCGAGCGAAGTCCCCACCCTACGCATGCCGATTCTGTGGTGCCTGGCATTTCCACCGCGATTGCAAGTTCCGCCAGCATCGTTGTCAACGTTGTGGCAGGGTGGGGCACCGGGCTGGTTACTGCCATTCTCCATCTCCCAAGGGGGCCACAACTGGGCTGGCCCCCACCCGCGATCCAAAGGAGAGGTCCCGACCCAGACGCACACCCAAACCTGGTCCGGTTGGCAGCTCCCTGAGCTTGCTGGCCACGTTCCAAATCAACGCTGCGGATCGGAGAAAGTTTGTCAACGTCCTGATCAATGGTCAGTCGGTCCGATTGCAGTTGGACACTGCGTCGGACATCACAATCATCTCCGAGGATCTCTGGCGATCCCTTGGCAAGCCACCTTTCGAATCGACCTCCCAATCTGCCACTAGCGCCTGTGGTGGTCGCGTGCAGCTAACTGGGCAGCTGCACTGCTCCGTCTCCTTCCGGGGCGCCAAGTTCAACGCGATCTGCTACATCACAAAGGCAAAGCTCAACCTGCTTGGTCTCGA